CTTGTTCTGTACGTTGCAATGATAGTTGGGAAGTAAGAGATGTAGTGTATGACCATTTATGTAGTAAAGGATTTGTAAAGGGATACACTGAATGGATTTATCATTGTGAAGATGAGAGTCTTATAGATCTTGATGGTGATAGTGATGATGAAACATCATCTCATGATGACATCGATGGCTTACTATTTGAGACATTTAAAGATGTGGCTGAAGGAGGTGGAGTACATGAAGGGATAAATGAAGATGCAAAGAAATTTTATAAACTAGTTGATGATACAAATCAAGAGTTGTATCCTGGTTGTGAAAAGTTTTCCTCGTTATCATTCACTATTCGAATTTATTTGTTGAAATGTCTCCATGGATGGAGTAATGCATCATTCACTGCTCTCGTAGAGTTGTTAAAAGAGGCTATGCTAGATTTGAACATCCTTGTCTCTTTCAATAAAACAAAATCTATGATACAAGATTTGGGCTTAGACTATAAAAATATTGACGCATGTCCGAACAACTGCATGTTGTTTTGGAAAGATCACGAGAAAGATGATTCATGTCATATTTGTGGCACGTCAAGGTGGATTGAATAACCTGAAGTTGCTAATGATCTTGAAGAATCTATAAAAGCTCATAAGGTTCCCGCCAAAGTTCTAAGACATTTTCCATTGATTCCAAGATTGAAAAGACTTTTTATGTGTTCAAAGACAGCTGATACATTGAGGTGGCACGCAGACCATCGTTCAAAGGATGGGAAGTTAAGGCATCCAGCTGATGCCCAAGCATGGAAAGACTTTGATGCCAAACATTTAGATTTTGCTCGTGAAACTCGTAACATCAGACTTGGGTTGGCAAGTGATGGGTTTAATCCATTTAGGACCATGAGTCTTTCACATAGCACATGGCCTGTTGTATTAACAGTATATAACTATCCGCCAAAATTGTGCATGAAGGCTGAAAATTGTTTGATGTCGTTACTTATTCCTAGACCAAAGTCACCCGGAAATGAAATTGATGTGTATTTGCAGCCACTTATTGAGGAGCTTAAGATATTGTGGGAAGTCGGTGTAGAAACATATGATATTTCAAAATCAATCATTTCAAATGCGTGCAGCTCTTATGTGGACTGTGAATGACTTCCATGCATATGCTATGTTATCCGGTTGGAGTACTAAAGGGAAGTTTGCTTTTCCTGCTTGTAATCATAAAACTTCTTCAAGATACTTAAAACATAGTCGAAAGATGTGTTATATGGGTCATCGAGTCTTTTTGGATTCAAATCATAGTTGGAGATCAAATTCAAGTTCTTTTGATGGAAAGCCAGAATATAGGTCTGCACCCTCCTTGTTAGATTCAACAATGATTTTAAAAGACTTAGAAAAGATTCCGGACGTAGTGGGGCAAAAATATCATAAAAAAAGGCCTGGTCCATGGAAGAAAAAGTCTATCTTTTGGAAATTACCATATTGGAAGGATAATTCTTTGCGCCATAATGTAGATGTTATGCATACAGAAAAGAACATTTGTGATGATATAATGGGGACTCTCTTAGATATTGAAGGGAAGAAAAAGGATCATGCAAAAGCTCGTTTGGACCTACAACACATGGGGATTAGAAAAAAACTCCATTTGAAGGAAACAAGTGATGGTAAGAAAACTCAAATCCCTAAGGCATGTTTCTCCCTAACAAAGCAAGAGAAAACTATTTTTTGTAATGTTTTAAAGATAGTAAAACTTCCTGATGGCCTTGCATCCAATATTTCTCGATGTGTTCAAGTTAATGAAGGAAAAGTTTCTGGATACAAGAGTCATGATGCTCATATTATATTGCATTACTTGTTGCAAGTAGCAATAAGAGGGATAGGCCCTAATCAAATTGTTATCCCTTTGCTTCGACTTTGTTCATTTTTTTGGTGTTTATGCCAGAAGGTTATAGATGTGAAATCATTGGATTACTTGGAAGTAGAAATTGCTGAAACACTTTGCCAATTCGAGCGTATCTTCCCTCCGAGTTTCTTTGACATAATGGTTCACTTACCAATTCACCTGGCAAATGAAGTCAGATTAGGTGGACCGGTTCAGTTTCGATGGATGTATTATATGGAAAGATATTTGGGTGATTTAAAATCTTTTGTTCGTAATAGGAGTCGTCCAGAGGGTTCTATCGCTGAAGCATACTTAGTTAAAGAATCTCTAACATTTTGTTCAAGATATTTGTCTAGTGCTGTAGACACAAGGATGAATAGAATGACACGAAATAGCGATGATACTCCAAACATAGGTCATCCAATCGGGGGAAAGAAACTAATTTCCCTTGATCATAAGTCTCTAAACCAAGCTCACGGCTACATTTTATTCAATTGCGATGAAGTGCAAGAGTACATTAGGTACACTCATCTACTTGATACAAAATTTCATTCTCACTATAAGTTTTCTTTTTCTTTTGTATTAAAATATTAGTTATTTATTTTGTAGAGAGCATGAGGTTAATGATCATAATCCTCTAAAAAAAGTAAGTCCAGCAAAGCTAACAATCAAAGAGAAGATTTTATTCAATGGTTTGAAACACGTCTCATGGATGAGAAAGTTATTGAATGGTTGAAGGTGTTGTCTAGGGGACCAAATGATGTTGTTAGAAGGTATTCTGGTTATGTTATTAATGGATACAAGTTTCATACAACAAATCGTGAAGCAAGGCTTAAAACACAAAATAGTGGTGTGACATTAGAAGCGGTGACTCAAGTTCTTAGAAATGCGAAGGATGAAAATCCCAAAAAGATTTGTGTGACTTACTATGGGGCAATAAAAGATATTATAGAGTTAGATTATTATGGTCATGAAAAATATGCATTGTTCAAATGTGATTGGTTTGTGGATGAAAAGGATAAATATGGATCGCCGTTGGTTTACTTTAACAAAAAATGCTACAAAAATGATCCATTTGTGTTGGCATCTCAAGTTCAACAATGCTTCTTTATTGAAGATCCTTTAAACAAAAACAAACACTATGTTCTAAATGAACTTCCAAGGGAATCATTTGACATGGGAGAATCTTTAAGTACAGATGCCCAAGAATATGATATTTCAACAAATCTTAATACATTAAGGGATGATTGTGAAGTGGATTTGGTTAGGAAAGATTTGTCGGATAATATCTTTGAAATTCCTTTGTCAGAACTTCACAACCAAAAAGCAATAGAGAGTGATCATAGTGACACGAGTTATGGAAGTGACGATGAAACCGATTATGATTCTAGTACTGATTAGGTAGCATTGGCAATGTGTTTCTAGTACTGATTATGATTCAAAGTTTAATTTATGGTTACGCATGCTGTCATTTTTTTACTTAAACCATAACAAACTAGATTCAAATATACTGTTAATTTATGGTTATGCATAATGTCAATTTATACTCAATTTTTCATTATTTAATTATGTAATTTTCTCCCTTTGTAGATCATAGTTGTTGGCCATAATGGACAATGTAAGAAGTGTAAAAGATGGTGGATCACATAGGAGGAGTGGTCGAAGTCCTACTAAAAGATTTGATTTTCCTCTTCAAGTCATATCAAGTGCAGAATTGACAAAGAAAGTGCTACAACATGTTAAGAAAGAAAAAACTGACAAGTTACATGAGATGCTACAGGGAAACAATAGAGAAAGGGTTCAGGAAATTATAGAAGTTGTGGACGGTAAATCATTTTCTTGTTTCATTTGATTTTATATAAAATGATGTATGTTAAAGTTATGTTTTGGAATTCCTTTAGATATATTATTCCTACTGTTTTTTAATGAATTTTTACAAAAATTAGAAACACCAAAAAAAGGAACTCAACAAGAAAGAGTTCAAAAGGTTGATCACAATTTGGACAAAGAGACTATTGCAAAGAAAATGGAGATAGACAAACTTTCGCAACCAAAAGTAATGAAAGATCATGCACATGGTGACAAAGAAGTTGTACAAGGTAAGTGATTTTTAAATTTTTCTATTATGCATATATTACATGAAATTATTCCTAATATCTTTTGGTGAATTTTTACTAAAATTAGAAACACCAAAGAAAAGAACTCAAGTGAAAGCTACAGTGAATAGAGAAAGAATTCAAAAGGTTGATGGAAAATTGGACAACCACATTGCTATGAAGAAAGCAGAGAGACCTAAGCTTTTGCAACCACAAGCTAAGGAAGTTCTTGCACATGGAAACAAAGAAGTTTCACAAGGTAGTTAATATCCCTGCATATACTTTAAATTTATATATTTCTTTTCATGACATTATTATGACGAGAAAATTATATTGAAACCAGGAATGCTGAAAAAAAGAATTCATGAGAATCTACTAGAGAACAATAGAGATAAAATTCAAAAGGTGGAAAAACCAGTTGCAAGGAGAATACTTATTTCTTCCAAAAATAAGAAACCAGAGAAATCTACTCTATCATTGGACACAATGATGTCAAAAGCTGAATGCTCTCAAAAGCTAAACAGGGTGCCAAAATGCCCATCAATGTTGATTGATGATTATGTAGATCTTCACAAGTCAAAGGAAATGGATGCAACCAAGTCAAACAATGGTGAAAAACCGGGCAGCAGCGTTAACCGTAGCTCTAATCAAAATCAATCAAAAAAAGGAACTCGACAAGAAAGTGTTCAAAATCGGGCAAAAGTCAACGAAGAAGATGCAACCACAAACAGAGAAGAAGAAAAAGGTAATTAGTTTCATATTTCATAATAATGATTTCATGTATTATTTACATATTGGTTGCAAACATGTGATATCATGTTGTTGTGTTATTACTTTATAGAAACATCCCAAAGAAAAACTCGTGGGAAAACTTTGTGAAAAAAGATTCATGCAAGAACTTTGGAAGAGCGAGTAGAAGTGACCTTTAATGAGGATTTTCAGCCAATTGGTCCTAGTGAAAAAGTAGTATCTGACTTGAGCCTCTTCTTGGGAACATTGGCTAGGAACTCAACATTTTGTCCTCTACGTTACACCAATTGGTCAGGAATGCCAGATGATAATAAAAACCGTTTCTGGAGATATACTAATGTATGTTTTTATCTATGAATTTGAAAGTATAATTATTAAAAAAAAGTGTTTCATTTCTTGATCTTGTCTTATCTTATAATTTATGTAGCGGAAGTTTATCTTGCCGGTTGAAGCACGAGATTGGATTGAGACCACTGTTAGAGAGGCATGGAGAAGATATAAGCACAAAATTAAGAAGAATCATTTTTTGAAGTATTCCAACATGACCGAGAGACTCAAAAATCGTCCGCCAAACGTGCCAATAGCCCAGTTTAAGAGTCTTTGTGCTTATTGGAGTAAGGAAACTATACAAGTAAGATTAATAATTTTTTTATGTATGTGTGTGAATTTACACCTTTCTATGTATGCCATAATTAAGTAATATTTATTATAATAATTCTGTCAAATTTAAATGTAGGAAATCAGTGAAAATAACACTAGAAATAGAGCTCAACTAAAGTGGATGCATCGAATGGGTCCCAAAAACTTTGCTTTGACTCGTGAAAAAGTGGTAACTTTCTTTTGTTCTCAATAAATTATTCCTTGTATGAATGTTTCTTTGTTCAATTAAAGTATTCGTGAAAAACTTTTCTTTGACTCGTGAATAGGAATTTTAATTCACATAATTTGTTATGGAATTATTTTGATTTGTGCAGCGTGAAAAGGAAAAAAGAGAGCCCACTCAATCAGAAATGTTTGTTGAAACTCGAAAAGGAAATAAAGGAAAGGAACTGGATGTAGAAACTGGAAAAGTAATTGTATGTAACATTGTTTATATAATACGTTTGCTTAATATAATCAGCCAACATTGTCTATAATAGTAGCTAATATTTTTTTTTTGTAATTTATGCTAGTCCCAACTTCAAGAAATGGTTGAAAAGGAGGAAAGTGATACATAAGCTTTTAAAGTTTTTTTTGGAAAGGAGTGTCCAGGCAGGGTACGCTGTTATGGGAGAAACATAACTAAAACTTCCTTAAAGAGAAAGGCGGAGATTAATGCTTTGAAACAAGCCCACAGTGAAGAGGTCTCTACATTAAGGGACGAGTTTCAAGATAAGATTGATAGATTGCAAAATGCTTTTAAGACCGTAATACAACAATGCAATCCTCAAATTAATATAGAGTCAATTGAAGATTTGTTAGGATTATCTCATGGAGATGCTAATAGTTCCCCAAAGGATATAAGACCGCAGATGCATTCATCTACATCAACTCATGCTCCATGTCATGGAAAGGTAACCATATATACCAATATTATTGATTTATATTTTTCTAATTATGTTATAGTATCAAAATGGTTGTTAATGTATGCAAAAAATTTCAAGTAGTGACAACACCTAGAATAAAGTAAGTGGTTGAAATTGTTTAAGTAGTGACAACACCTAGAAGTGGCTGAAACTGTTTTATTTGTGCGAGCTTTCATTGATATTTCACAAACATACTTGCCTGGGATAAGATTATGGGACCCCTTGTTTGATAACACTCACTATGTATGCTGTAAATTTATCCATATGATACTGAACACCAAAGAAGATACAACAAGTAAGAGTGTTCATCAGAGTTCATTTACTCCAAAAAATAAACATAAAAGGATAGCACAAGTTATACATACATACATACATACAGTTAAAGGCTATTGTAAGTTCTGAATAGTGAGCCAAAAACAGAATGGTTTTCATAATTGATTTATTTGCTAGTAAGCTCATGTCACCTATTATAGTTTAGAACGAAAATTCACATCCATTAAAAACCTTCATAATTAATTCACATCCATGAGATGTGAAGAATATAAACAATGTGTTTTGCTCATTGGTTTAGTTTTTATTTGTGCGAGGTTTAATTCTTGTTGATGTCTTAATTGTCCTTTGGACCAAAAATACTTATGGTTAATGTGTTTTATTTTATTTTCTTATGCAGCAATGTATCAATGAAGATGTTGAAAAGGACGATATAAATGATGAAATTCAAGAGGACGACATAAATGATAAAATTCAAGAGGACAACCTAAATGATAAAATTCAAGAGGCCGACGTAGATGACGAATTTCAAGAGGACGACATAGATCTAGATGATGAATTTCAAGAGGAGGATATAGATGGTGAATTTCAAGAGGACGACGTAGATGAAGAATTTATGGAGGATGACATATCTAACGAATTTCAAGAGGACGATCTGGATGCTTTACTCCTAGAAGACAAACTTGAATGAGTTGGATGATGTCTTTTTTTTTTGCTTGTAGTTGAAAGCATTAAACTTGAAATATGATTTTTGTTCTTTTGCTGAACTATGTTTTTAGTTATTTTACTAGGATCATACTTCAAAGTATTAAAAGTAATATTGTCACGTTAGGCATTTTGTGTACTCTATATACTATATCTTGAATTAAAGTTTGAACTCGATTTTATTATATTACAACTTTTATGGATGTATGGTTTAAGTTATATAATCAATATTATTTTTAAAGTCAATTATTATTGACTATATTATTTTGATAATAATTGCAAAATTGTATATTTTATGTGGACACTATAAAACAACAACCTATAAGCTATGGCTACACTTCAAAAACGATCTTCCTGATTCAGGTTTAAGGCAACGATTGTTAATTGTAGCCGAATTTGGCAACGCAACGCTTAAAAAACATTGTCTCAGAGGCCGTAAATAATCGTCCCCTATTCCTTTACTATAGGCGACGTTTTTCAAAAGCGTTCCCAAAAAACATAAAAAAACGTCGCCTCAAACAATAGGCAACGCTCGCACAGGAGACGCCTAGAAAACGTCCCCTATTGTTTTAGGCAACGATTTTCAGAGTTCTGGCAACGTTTTTCAATTGTTGCTGGAGAGCCTAAATGTTGTAGTGCTGCTTCCAAAAATTAATGTGAAACTGGTATAAATTGAAAGCCATACACATGGAAAGTCCAAGCTAGCAAGCTAGCAGTAACATTAGTTAGGACATCACGGTCAGGGCAGTCGTCAAAATGGAATTAAACGGATATAGTGTGTTATCTGAATGTTTCTTTGGAGTAATTTTTGTAATTTAATATTTGAAATCAATTATAAAATTTATTTCTCATAGATCATGGGCTTGGAAGAAGACAAGTGTGTTACTCAGTTAACATTATGAGTTAGGTATAATATCTTGGTCAAATTAAAGTTAATTGTTAAGCATATACTTTCCATGCAGGAATCTCGTCATGGTTGCTATTATATCATAGTTTCTATTATATCATAGTTGCAATTGCATACATGACTGGACCTCTAATGGGGTTTGTTTGTGTCTCCAACAATGCTATCGGCGTGATTCTCTTCGTCTAAGCATATGACTGTTTTATACATGATTTCTCTATTCTATTATGAATGACACAACTCCTCATCTATGTAATGTTCCATTTACAATTTAAAGAAACAAAATGTAATAGAATAAAATTTGACATAATTTTTTATAACATTGTTTAAAAGAATAGTAGCTGATATATTTTTGAAAATATATATATATATATATATATATATATATATATATATATATATATATATATATATATATATATATATATATATATATATATATATATATATATATATATATATATATATATATTTTGTTATTTTCTATCCATTTTTCTATATTTAAGAAAATTAATCAATAATATTTGTTTAAGTAATAAACGGTTTATTCAATTAATTTGAATAAGAATACGTGTAGTGATCATTTCCATAACTTATATTCTTTTTTTAAACATAGTTAACATCATAGAAAAGTCAATGATGATTTTGCATTAAACAACCTGAAATAATTGAAAATTAAAAGCAAATAAATTGAACTCAATATCATAATAATTTATGGTTTTAAAAAAGTTAATAGACTTTAAATGACATGTATAATGAATATTGCATCTTAGAAAGTTAGAGCAGGATTTTTTTAATTATTCTTGTACATAATACTGAGTGGGTGAAAATCTACTAAGACTTTTTAATTTAATTCACATTATACATTTTTTATTTGATGTCTCTTTTAAAAAATATATATTAAACATAATCAATGATATTAATTTCCAATTTATACTACTATTATTGTGGGCCTTTTATACCATAAATTCATTGTTATAATATTTATACATTTTATTATTCTTTATGAAATTAATTTCTTTTCCTTTTAATATTATTTCTTATTTATAATCTAATTGTAGTCAAATTTTCCGTTTGACAAAATAATTAAGAAAGTTTTTATATAATATTATATTAAATTATAATAATTATAAAATTTTAAATAAATAATTACAAATTTCAAATAAAATATCATATTGTTTTAATATTTTAATATGTAATATATGATATATTGATTTTAGTTATGTAGCATTTCTCGTGGTTAATTTATTTATATAATATTTAGTTTCTATGTACATTATATTAAATAGTTAGTAAAAATAAAAGTATTTCATATGTAATAATTCTCTATTTATATTGTTAATAAAAATATATTTTCAAAATATTTAAATTACAACATGTGCGTTCGTCATTCCCAATATAAAAAAAAAGCTAACTATTATTTTCTATTTTCACATTAATAATATTATTTTACTAATATTATTAAATTATTTGAAATACAAAATATAAAAGTTATATATATATATATATATATATATATATATATATATATATATATATATATATATATATATATATATATATATATATATATATATATATATATATATATATATATATATATATGATATTTTTAAAGATCATTAAATAAAATAAATCTATTAGATCTATTAACTAATTTTGTTAAAAGAAATATTTAAAAATAACTACGGGTGTTAATAAGCATAAATAATAAAATGAAACATAAATACTGTATGAATAATTAATTATAGAACTAAACATAAGTAATGTATGAATAAATAGTATCAAAATTGCAAGATATATTTTATTAATGATACCATTTGTTTTCCATTTATAAAATTTAAAATTTTAACGGGACAAGTTCATGAATGATTAATATATATATATATATATATATATATATATATATATATATATATATATATATATATATATATATATATATATATATATATATATATATATATATATATATATATATATATATATATATATATATATATATATATATGTATATATATATATATATATATATGAAATATTAAAATTAAAATTTTAACTGGATCAATTCCATCCAAATACAAAATAATATATTACGGAAACACACGACTACTTATATGGTAGACACATATGGTACTGATATTAACACATTTAATAAAATATCGAATAATAACAAGAATAAGTTTATCATTAATTTAAATATTTTAATAAATAATTCCAAAACAAAAATATTTATATATAGAAATAATTAACGGTTAATTCATATGTTTTTATATATGGAATAATATATTTGATTTGTAAATTAATTTAAATCAATTATATTAAATAGTTATTACTAATTGAATTATATAATTTGATTGAATATTTTTTCACTATAATTTGTCAATTTAAGATTTTTATTATTATAAAAAAAATTTATTATCATCAAATATTTTTAAACAATGTTAGTTTTATAAGCGGGACTAAGTTTTCTATTGATTCATATATTTTTATAAATAATGTCAAAACAAATATAATGTTAATTATTTTTATAGACGGGAAAAATATATTTTTGATTCAAATTTTAATTTCTTATTTTTTTTAAAATGGGTACTGATATGTTACGCACATATGGTACTGATATTAAGCTATTGATTTAAATATAGAATAATATGGTACTGATATTAAGATACTGATCAAAATATTGAATATTAACTGGAACATGAAGTTATTGATTAAAATATTGAATATTAACGAGAACACGATGTTACTCGTCAAAATATTGAATATTAATGGGAACATGAAGTTACTAATCAAAATTTTAAATATTAAAGAGAATCTTAAATTACTGATCAAAATATTAATATTAACGAGAACATGAAGTTACTTATAAAATATTTAATAATAACAAAAACATGAATTTACTAATTAAAATATTGAATATTTTAACGGAAAAACATGGCGTAATTGAGCAAACTATTGAATTTTAACGGGAACGTTAAGTTATTGATTAAAATATTGAATATTAAGGACAACATAAAGTTACTAATCAAAATATTTAATATTAACGGGAACATGAAGTATCTGATCAAAATATTAACGAGAATATTAAATTATTGAACAAAGTACTGAATATTAACAGGAATATGAAGTTAAGAATTGAAATATTGAATATTAACGGTAACACAAAGTTATTGATCAAACTATTGAATATTAATGGTAACATGACGTTATTAATCAAACTATTGAATATTAACAGTAATGTGAAGTTATTAATAAAAATATTAAATATTAACGGGAACAATGAGTTATTGATCAAACTATTATTAACAGAAACATGAAATTACTGATTAAGTTATTGATCAAAATATTGAATATTAATGGAAACATAAAGTTACTGATCAAAATATTAAATATTAATAAAACAATATTACTATTGGTTTAAATATTTTGGACAACAATTTCAAAACAAAAATAATATTTATATATAAAAAATATATGTATTATTGATTAAAAGTTTTTTTTTATATATTAAAGAATTATAAACACCGATTTATTATCTCTTTTAAAAAAAAATCAATTTATTTTTATTATATATTACAAAAAAAATGTGCGTACCATACAGATACTCGTTCATTTATCTCCTAATTTTAATATATATATATATATATATATATATATATATATATATATATATATATATATATATATATATATATATATATATATATATATATATATATATATATATATATATATATATATATATATATATATATATATATATATATATATATATATATATATATATATATATATATATATATATATGAAAAACCACCTTTTAAATATTATAGCAATTTTTATCCATCTCGAAATCTAATTTTATCTTAACAAATGAAATCAAAACTAATCAATTTTTCTTATTCGGAAAATCAACTTTTATTTAATCCTTAGAAGTAACAACTAATATCAAAAACACAAAAATAAAAACATGATAATTTGTTACATTCATCGGGATCATGCATATTCATCCTTTCACCTTCTTCTTTCTTATTACAACCAATGATAAATAAATAGTTAAATAATATTAAGATTTTCTA